TGCATTTAACAAATCTAAAAACCATAAAAAAATTGCCATACTTCCATTTTTTTTTTATAAAATAGTTGTCGCAAGTAGTCGGATACTCTTTAATGTCTAACGAAAGATCAGGTAAACCCCAGACCAACCTCGACGAAGTGAGCAAATGCTGAAATATTTGGTTAAATGCTAAGCAACACTGGAGCTTACATAAAAAAACTTATAGTCCACGATTTCTTTTTTCTAAGTGTATTAATGTTTCGAATCATTGTTTATGCAAATTTATGAAAAAAGGGAATAAGAAACATATTTAAGATTCTCTTTAGGGAATTCCTTTTTGTGCCCTTAAAACCAAAAGCAATTTTTTAATATTAAAAGAATTCAGAGAGAAAACATGTTTCACAAAATAAAATAAGTATACTAAATACTAAAAAAATGAAAGTGATCCGCGTGTTATTCATATATATTGAATACTAATTAAAAAGTACTTATACGCTGGGAGAAAGTACACAATTTATAAAATTCCTCGGGACCGAAGGTATAATATCTGCTTACGATGTCTATTGGTTTTAAGATTATTACTTACAGAACAATCACAAACTTAAGCCATAAAAATGGCAGTCAGAGCAAGATTGTCAAAAGAGTAGTAGCGGATGACAGTTGTTTTTAGCCACTGTGTAAGAAAATAATTACATGCTAACTAGTGGCATACATAAAGGTAGGGTTTATGGCTTCATATCCCTTCCAAAGACAAACAGATATTTAATTTTTATCACAAATATTAAATCTCGTTTCTTCCGCTTATGTTTTTTTTTAAACTGGAAAAAAATTTATAATTGTGAAGTAATTTGTGTACTATACTCTCTGTTTGAACGAGCTATCAGTTTTGGCTATTTCAAGCCAAGTAGTAGCAGCTGAAGCTCTGGCTATCTGCCAAGCTTTAGATGATCTGTCAGTTACAAACAAAAATCTGCTAATCTTATCTGATAGTCTCTCTGTCCTCTCTGCTCTTCAATATTATTCGATCAAATCTCATAGTGTCATCCATAAATTAGCTAGCAAGATATACGTTTTATCACATTATAATGAACAGATAATTCTTTGGACTCCGGGACATTCAAATATATTGTGGAATGAACAGGCGGATAATCTCGCAAGATCTGTCACAGAGTCTAATGTTCACATCGACTGGATCGCCTCAGAAGACATCAGAAAAAAATATACCAAGAGAGTTTTAAAAAAGCAAATGATAACTTCTGCTCAAGCAAATATTTAGAAAACTTGGGCAATATTCCAAACATAGGCTCTATTTCTAAATGGACAAGCAATAGAAGAGAAGAAATCCTATGCACTCGAATCTTCAGTAAAATGATCATCACTCCTGGACGCCTACGTAAATTCATCAGACAACGCAAACTGCAGAATCTGTAATTGCTAAACGATTTGGACCACATCTTGTTAAACTGCAATAGATATATTCATCCTCAAAATCAATTAAAGCACTTTCTCAAAATTGATTCACATTATAGCATTACTTTCAAAGAACTATTGGAGAAAGCTTTGTCAAATAGATTATCATTCAGATTTTTTATCCAGAAAATGAAATATTTTGACATCTATTAATTTATTAATCCTTTAGTTTTTTCAGGGGATAATAGCCTTTGTAGCTCTATATCCCACAAAACCTGAACTGAAGCCAAGTAGTTGAAAGATTCGGGGATTAAAAACATTCAACACCATCTCAAAACAAATTGAATTATATTCATCAAGTGGCTATGGTATTATTTAAAATAGGCATTTATGAGCCAAAATAATTGAAATTATATTTATTAGATGGCAATAACAGTTTTCAAAATCGAATGATTCGAAACGTCATGTGGGACCAAGTTTCTTAAGAGCTACTTTTGTGACGCTTATTGCTTTTTATGCCTGATTCCTCCAAACTAACACAACAAAGCTAACTATAAAATAAAAGTAAACATTAAAAAGATCGCTTACTTCTAACACAAGAAGAACAAGCCCACCCGTACAAGGATGAATAGAGTTGTGATGGGCAACCGACTCCGGAGAGCGGCTTCCACACTTCGCGCGTGCGAAGTGAGAATCTTTCTGAAGCGAATCCTTATCTCTCTTTTAGTCGACGACGCGTGAAGAGTTAGACACGAGCTCGAGAAGTTGATTTGGGGGTGAGAAAAACATCCTGGAACAACAGGATGGATTTAGAGGATTAGCGCATCTTTTGCCACGTTGAAGACTGAACACTCCACTTAGGGCTTCGGGACTTTTAATATCAGTATCAAATAAGGTTTGGGGGCTAGTTTTATACTCTTAGCAGTGGTATCAAACTTCCTCCTTAGTAAAACTTCTTTGTTTTTTTTTGTATTGAATCTGCCTTTTGTAACAGTGAATAAGAAATCGCGTACTTTAACAGAATTGTAAGATCAGGGATTGTTTAACCACCCACCCCATCCACTTGTAGTAAAAGATAGTTTAAACACATAAGGAATCCAAGGACGTCTTGAAACTCTTTGAGGTCCTAGTACCAGAGAAATCATGAGATTTTTTTGAGGCTTTAGGCCCCTATGCAAAAGCAGGTCCTACCTAAGGTCTTTAAAAGTAGACAGTATATGACATGCTTTGTCAAATACTCGTTCATATGGTAATTTGAAACAAATAAATGTGTACGATTCTCAATCTTAAAAACCTAGGCTCGACCGATGGCTACATTCCGACTAAATGAGTTGAAGGATTGTTCATGGTATTATAGGCTTAAGCCTAGACATGGACAACAGTCATCACAAAATAATACGGTCTTACCACTTTTGCCACTTGAAATTCGGTTTGAAATTCCCTGTGTTTCAAATAATAAGTACGGGAATTATATTTGACCATAAAAAGTATCTGGATCATGATCTTAAGACAGAGTTGAAAACGAAACGATCCCCCCCCCCCTCTGAGAGCAAGGCCCTGGACCCGGGCCCAGTTGGTCCATGTCTTAAGACGTCCTTCAATGAATTAGAGGAAAATAAGCATATATAAATTAGTTGACTACAGAATTGAAACAGTAGACGAAATCGAGTGAAAATCGCGGGAAATAACTCTGAAGTCTGCATAACCGACTCCCAGGAGTCCACATTTGAAAAAGTTTGAATTGATCCTGATGTGTAAATACATTCATGTCCATAAATTAAGGATAATTCAGAATCACACAGAAATTGAACTCTAAAATAGAAATTTCACTTGTAGAATTATCACACACATCTTGAAGAAGAATATGCAAATTACAGGAAACCACCAGATGGCGCGGCTATTACGTCACAATGATGAGAGTGTAAGAGAGGGGTATATAAGGTATGGTGGCAAAGGAGTAAAATTATTCACAAGCGCTTTAAAAGCCTTTCAGTTCAATAACCGCATAGTTATGGCACAAAGGAAGCATTTGAATGATTTTTTACGTGGTAGAATTATCGGACGACTGGAATGTGGACGAACCCAGCTAGAAGTATCCGAGGAACTTGGAATCGCTCAGAGTGTCATCTCCAGGCTTTGGCAACGATTCAAAGATTATGGTAATGTGAGTAGATGTTACAGCACAGGTCGCCCTCGAGTTACAACGCCGAATGAGGACCGGTATTTGGCAGTTACTGCCAAAAGAAACAGACGGAGCACAGCATCAGACCTATCTCAGCTCTCTTCAGCTACCGGTACGACAGTTTGAAGGCAGACCGTGTACAGACGCTTAGGGCACATTGGTCTATATGCTCTTCGGCCTGTCAAATGTGTTCCCCTTACCGCAACTCACTGTCGCCTGCGATTAACCTGGAGTAGAGAGCATGCAATGTGGACACCGCAACAGTGGTCTTGTGTGATGTTTTCCGACGAGTCCAGGTTTAGTTTGCAGACTGATTCTCACCGGACTTTCATATGGAGAGCGCCAGGTACCCGTTACCACCAAGAGAACACCATTAAACGACACCGTTACGGTGGTGCAGGATGGCTCGTTTGGGGAGGAATTATTCTTGGTTCCAGAACTGACCTGCATGTTCAGAGTGTAACGATGACAGGCCACGTCTATCGGGATGTCATTCTGGAACAACATGTACGTTTGTTTCGGGGCGCCATGGGTGCTGAATTTCTGTTTATGGATGACAACGCCCGTCCTCACCGTGCAAACATTGTAGACGAATGCCTTCAATCGGAGGATATCACCCGTATGGATTGGCCAGCATACTCACCGGAGTTGAATCTAATAGAGCATGTGTGGGATTTGCTTGGCCGACGAATTGCAGCCCGTCAACCCCCTCCCACCTGTCTACCGGAACTTCGGAGGGCATTGCTTGATGAGTGGTGTAATATTCCACAAGAGCAGATTGATAATTTGATACTCAGCATGCGTAGGCGTTGTAAGGCCTGTGTTGCATCGTCCGGGAGACATACTCCGTATTAACCATCATACTAACTATGTTATACTGTTTTTTGTAAAAGCTTCTTTTTTGAAATTTGCTCCAGGGAGTAAAAATCGCAATTTTTATTAATTATGTCAAACATATAGTATCTTTTTTGCTCTTTACCTTTTGTTTAATAAATAGACTTTACAAATAAGTCAAATTTGTTTTGCTTCTGTCTCTTTCTTTGCCTGAACTTCATAATCCTTAATTTATGGACATGAGTGTATGTTCTGTCATTATTCTATCCTAGACACAAACATTCATACAGATATTCTATTTCTCAAATAGTCTACGTAGGAGGGGATCGAATAAACAAGCTACTATAAAGAATAAAACATGTATGATGCAACTAGAAAGAGACACAAGTCACTGATATATCTTGCCCTTAATATAGTTTTGGAACAGACTTGAATGATATTTTTTGAAACCAACTCTATGTAAGCAATATGGTCCAACAAAAGAAAATTTTGTTCATCATGCTTGTTAGAAGTAAAGAACCCTTATTAGACACATGGTACAAGACTGATAAATGTTTAAAAGATTAATCGTTATAAATAACAATATTGCCATCCAGCCAGTATAGTGGAAATGACCCTCAGCTTGTGACCAAGTGTGCTCGGGTTCGAATCCCGAATAAGGCATGAATGCATCTTCGTGAAAAGATGTCGGATTCTAACCTGAAATGGATTACCGTCTCGAATGGAAAGCAGCGCATCCCTTCTGCTCAATGCTGGGATCAAGGTTTTAATTAAAAAAAGTTATATTTTCTTCTATGATTGTATTGTACCTTTCTCTTCTTCCATCTCTCGTCTTTCATATGTAGCCAGGATAAAACACACGGCAACAATAATATTATTATATCATTACATTTTATGCAGTATTATAATTGTCAAAAAGCAAACACCTTCTTTAGACATTACATAAAAATACAAAAGAATGCATTTTATCGCTATTAAAATACAATTTTCACAACGGTCTCTTTGAGCAAAGACGCATTAGGTCAAAAAGTTCATCTTTTTTACAAGAAATGTTTAAAAAACATTTAAAAAAAACTGAAACCAATGGGTACAAAAATCAAGATTTTTATGAATACTTAACATTAATAATAATAAAAAGTACGGAACAACAGAAAACAATTCCGCTCTTCCCATTTGTTTACATTTAACCTCTTTATTAATAGATATGTCACGTTTACAAGAAATATTAACCCGGAAAAACCGTGAAATCCGACGTAGCAATTACTTTATTCGCACGTTTTCTCTGCAGGAAAAAGACAAATTCGAATACATTAGAACTCAAGAAAAATTATTTTAATACATCACAGGAACAATAAATTTTTCCTTCACAGTAAATATATAAAACGGTTCTCTTCAAGTCATCTAAAATTAGCCAGAACTTTTATCAAGAAGTTCCGAAAAGAAAAGAAAAAAACGCTCAAGCACATCGTAAAACATGGCGGAATACAATAGGAAGCGTTGATCGAACAAGGCCGCATGACAACAATCGAAAATAATTCGTGGATGAATGAGAAATGTGGGTCAGGTAAACAGAGGTTGAAATTCGAAAAACTCCCTCAGAATAATTTCACGTGTCGCTTTCTTCTTCCTTCAGAACACTGTCACGTGACGAGCATCAAAATTCCATCTTCCCACTAACGAAGGAACAATGAATAAACAATGGTTTTCATAAGCAGTATATGAGTTAGGCTTAGCAATAATACTTTTCCATGAAAGCCATATGGCCGACATTTGTTTTGATAATTTTTTCTACGAAAACTATGATAAAAGATTAACAATACATATTTATTATTGAAATATTATATCTTTTTTTTTTTCTTGCCTGGTTACAAGATAAATCACATTTTATTACATTTTTCCAAATCTATTCATTCATTCATTTAAATTTATTCGAGAGTTGATTTATTGGCAAACAATTATTATTTTTTTTTCGAAAATCTTTTTTTTGAGAAGGGAATAATAATTTTTTGTTTCTTAGTCTTTAGTTCCTTTGAAAAATTTCTATTTAATGATTTTCTTTTTATTATATTATTTTTTAAAGTTTTTCTATGGTGAATTGTCTAATTTAAATCTGATTTTCGAATCAGAGCTTTTATTATCATTCGTTATTTAAAAGATAAATACTGTTATAGTTTTTGAACCTAGTAAGAAAAATAATGTTGGATATAGTATTTACTCACAGGAAAAAAAAACTACTTTTTATCATGAATTGTATAAAAAAAATTTATAAGAACTTTGATTAAATAAAAAAAAATACATCAAATTGAAGTGAAAGTTCCGAATAAAGTTAGTTCTAAGTGAAGTAAAAAAAAATTGTTATATTTTCTTTTATTTAGTGTTAGTTCTCTTTAATCAATAGGTTTTCCGCCTGAAATTTTGACACCAACGTTTTTTTATGAATAAAAGAGGTAAATAATTGTTTGTAATTGAAATATTCTAATAAGTGTCAATAATATATGTCATTTTAATACATAATTGTTATTTATTTTCTTTCTTTTAAATAATTTCGTTCAACTTTTCGTATTTGTTCCTGGCACTTCAAAAGTAAAGCTCTAATTGCGAAAAGTATTTTCTGTTTATACGTTAATATGTTGGAAGAGTTTTCGTCAAATATCATAAATATTTATTTTTCTTTGTTTATGGAATATTAAGCGAAAGTTCCACGTGTCACTGTAATTATCCTACTCTACAATTCTTTAGTCGGTTTCATAGTAAAATGTTTATTATCAGTATTTTATAGATTTATAAAGCCTCTATTTGTAAACATATACTTTATTCTGTATATCAAATGAAATATTTTAACTAAAAGCAATACAAATCTTACTGTAGTATTCAATAAAAAAACTTCCTTCAAATCCTTTTTGAATGTATATTTTAAAAAGTTCAAAAACATTTTGATTTTGAGTGTGCCTGTTAAACACACAAAATAATAACAGCAAGTTTTACAAACAAATTATTTTCGCAAAAGGAAGGAAAAATAAGTTAACATTAGAACTCTATGTATCGATACGCCTCGAAAAGGTCTCACATTTATCCCACATTCCACGAATAAGAAGATAAAACTTTCTTTTCTTTAAAAATAATATCTATAAAAAAAATCTTCATTATTTTTAACTTTTAAACCATTGTTTTTTAAGGTCATTGAGCTAAAATGTTGAAATGTTGAATTCTAATGAAGAAATATACATTTTACTAGCAAGTCTTCAAATCAATTCTTGACAGGGAAATCACTGGAATTTCTATTGTTAAAAGCAGTTTCTATAGAACAACTTCCAAAGAATTGGATTTTTTATAAACTATTTATAATGCAAAAATGTATAATAGTTTCTTTCCAGCCCCCCCCCTTTGGCAACAGTAACGATGTTGCAATGCCAACCTTAACTCTTTTCTGGAGCAAGCCAGTAGATGAAAGCGAACTCTAAATTGTTATTCTTAAATATCACTTGTCATTTTATGCATTCTTTGAAACAATAGGAATACTTCTCAGTTATTCCAACAGAACAGGCGTTTTTATTTCATAGTAGTAATGACTTTTTTTATGCGAATAAGAAAATGAAATCGTATAAACATTAGAAAATACTTCAAAGAGTAGCTTTGAATAAACTGAATCAAGTTAAATTTCGAACAATACTCATTGTTATTATAAGTTTAACCCAATAAATAAAAACTCGCAACTCTTTTTATACAAATGATTTAAGGAAAACATTAAGTATAAGAATGGGCTTAACTCATGACTGACACATGACAAATGCAATCACGAGTTCTCCATTGAATTCAGAACTATCATTAGGCTTATTGTTCTACATGTAAAATTTAGAAAAATTTCAATTTAATAATTGATAAAAGATGATCTAGCAATAAGATTCTTCAAAAAAAATTTCAAAATTAAATAAAAAGTCCTTTTGTTATATTTGACACTTAAATAACATTTTATTTACCTATGTGTATTATTATTGTTTATAGATGTGTATACTTTTTTAAAAGAAGTTTCTGAAAATCGCAAAAGTTGGCAACACCGTGAAGCGCATTAACTGATTGGCTGGAAATACGTGATTGCTAATGCAATTATCACATGTGACTATGTGACTATGACGTCACCTGATAACTGCATTTAGTCTATTTTACTTGCTTAGTAAATGAAATTGATTCAGCAATTTTTCTTAGCTTTTTTAATATGTTTGTTTGTTCTTATTTTAATTTTTGTCAACTGATTATTTTTGAAGAAAATACATAACATTTTATATTAAATCGTCATAGAAATATGAAACATCGAACTAATTATACCTAATATTATAATTGCCATTTTTAACGTTTTCGGAAAAGGTAAGTTAAATTAATAAAAAAATTTTTTGTGGGTCCTGAATATTCATGGGTTTTGCAGTACATAAAATTATCTGTGACCACCAGAAAAAAAAAGAATTTAACATTCGACTTCAAAGATTTCTCCCTAACCCTAAATTTTTTCATGAACTAAGCCTAATTCGATTATTCCATTTGGAGTATTGAAAAATGAGAATTGAAAGAAAAAAACCGTGAAATTTTCTTTTTTTTACTTTGCTTAACTAAGAAAGTTAAAACTATTAATACAATCAATAAGTAGCATAGGACTTTATTTAAAATTATTACATTACTACAGAAAGAAAACTACGCAGAAAGTTTTAAAAACAAAACGCGTAGCATATTAGGATGTATTATTAGCACTTCAAGGTGTTAATTGTAGTTTCAACCCCAACTCTTCCAAAAGTAGCAGCTCATTAAAAGGCAATGTCCACTTAGCGAAGCGTAACTGATTTGCAGTTCTTCTGCTGAGGTCACGATTACCAAAACCATGCCTGTGATGATAATGTTGCAAATACCAATAAAAGAAAAAAAATATTTCTTTTAAAAATGAAGTTAGTATCAGTTTTTTTTTTTTTTTGGATTACAATTGTTGGTCGTTACATTTGGTTAGTTGCGATGCAATTATAGATAACTTTATTATTGTAGATTAATTCGTTGCGGTTGGGTGATTTTTATACAAATTTCCTATTTACGATAACGAAAGTTCACAATTTGCATTGCAAGGTACTTAAGTTCCTCAAAAAAATCTACGGATTTCGTTGAACGTTTTTTTATGATTTCGCTTTGAAATGGTGATGACCAAAAAGAAAAAAAAATATGATTTAAAGTTCCCACCGAACAGTCTTTTTGGTTTTGAAAATAAAATTATATGGAGTTTGTAATAATAACTCGCTGAAATTAAGACTAGAGTATTTATTGCAATTGCATGGAATAAACTCGAGAGAACATAATATGTATATATACACAATTACTATTTGCATAGTTATTTTTTTTAATTTTTAAAAATTTTATAAGTAGATTTTAATAAGATAAATTAAATGAAACTTATTTTTCAAATAGTTCTTCTTTCAGCCTTTTTTTCAGGAAATTTATTTTTCGGCAAAATATTTCATGATTAACTTTTTCTTATTATCTCACAAAAAAACCCTTTTATTAGTATTTGCTCCACCCACTTTACTGATCTTCAAAAAAACAACAACTTTTTATAGCTTTAAAAATGTTTTTCCATATTAGCTTAATTTTCTCACCAAGTTATAATTTTACTAATTTCGATATAGTAAAAT